TACAGGGAGATATTAGAATAAGTTTAATCAATTTATCAGTCATTGTGTTTATCAATGTTTTTATATCATGTTTTGTTGTTTTTATATCATATTTGTGTTGTTTTTATATGTCTGTGTTGTTATGTTATTATTTATTAATCAATTTATTATTTTCATATACATTTTATTGATTTTCTTTAATCTCTGGCACTTCTATTATAGAGAAAGGGTGAATAGTGATATTAAAATATTTCTTCTAATTAATTTCCTTTCAATGTGCTAGAACCCATGCACCGGGCCACTAGTATATATATAAATTTTTTTTAAAAAAGAGGTGAGGTTTAGGGATTGTTGTTTGAAAATTTTCAGAGGTGATTTCTCAGCGTTTTGGGAGTCTTTGTTCAAAATATGCACGCATGTCAGCCTGCTAGCACGGGCTGCTGTTGGCACGGAGGCTGTTGTTGGGCAGAGCAAGCACATCATTTGTGAGGCATGATCCCTCCATGTCCCCGTGTGATATTTTGAGGATAAAAGTGTGTGTTCTTGGACGAATAAAAGTAGTGAGGGCATGTTTAACAGATGTCTACCTAAAATCATTGCCCTGAGCAAGGAGGCTCATGGCATAGAGAAGTGCGATCTTGTCTAGGAGATGCCTTAAGTCGACTGTGTACCTGCCCTCTTAGTTCTCAACAGGAAGGCACAATCGCTTGGAAGCGGAAGCCAGCGCCTTGATCACACTGAACCTAAGGCAACTGATTTAAGAGTGTGATGCCATAAAGCTAATTCATTTGGCTTTGCTGTTGGTTTGTTTTATCAAAAATACTTACACAATCTCTGATCTTCCTCAGATGGTCCGTTCCTTATATTTCCATTCTGACCAGCCGCCCACACTAGGCATCCCTCCACCTGCTCCCCAAGCAGGGTCTACAGTGGTGTCCTGGTTCACGGCAGTGCTGTTTCTTTAAAGGGACCAGGGCATTCACAACAACAGGGCCTCTCCCTCCCTTTGTAACTCTCCCGAAGTACACTGATTATTCCTCCTCTCCCTAGGCATTCTTTGTCAAGGAGTATATCTTAAGTCACCCTGAAGACGGAGAGAAAATTGCCCGGTTACAAGAGCTGATGCTTGAGCAGGTAAGGAAGAAGCGTGGCTGGGCTGAGAAGGGGCGTGGCCAGGCCAGGGCTGCAAGGGGCAAATGACAGCTGCTACTCAACTCAAAGGAATGAAGCGCTGTTGATAGTTGAACAAAGGAAACTTGAAGGTTTATGTTCCTCT